TATGATGTGGTGGTAGTGGGGGTGACTTGTTCTCCGGGACGAAAGCCATATTTCTTCTCTCTCTCTCTCTTTCCTTCTCTCTGTGCGTCTTAGAGTTAACTTGTAAAACAAATCGGTGGGACTTCGTCACCATTCTTTTCGTGATGGCCATCGTTGTGTGTTCGTTCCAGTGGAAGTCCCACCCGGGCCTCTGTATTCGTAATCTCAATGTCTGCGACACGCTGCTCCTGCCTCTCTGTATATGCGTCTACCAAATCTATGCGACCGTCCACATACCCCAACCCACAATCACAAACATGACCCAGTATCCACTCAGCTCGACGACAGCGCGCACGGCCGCACTGACCTGGGACTCGTCGCTGGGATCGGTGCCTCCATCGGCGGTGGTCCCGTTCGCGAGACTGCCGTTGATGTAAGTGGCGGTGGTGCCGTTGTCGAAGGAGACGGTCCTGACGGTACTGGTGTTGACGGGGGCGACGGGCGTGGAGGAGCCGTTGGTGACCACCTGGGTCAGGAAGGTCGAGTTGTTGTCTGGGTCGCACCCGCAGACCTGGTACTGCTGGCACAGGCAGGTGACGTTGGAGGTGCGGTTACGGCCCTCGTTGTCGAGCCAGTAGTACGGGATGCCGTAGGGATATGCCCACACGCTGCCGTAGAGCCAGAGGCCCGGGAAGAACGCCAGCGCGCCCGCGCCGATGAAGAACGGTGCGACACCCAGCGTCGGCGATCTGCGTCCCGCAGTGTACGGCACCACCGCGCCGCCCGCATATCTGTTCCCATACGCCTTGGGAGTGCCTGAACCGTCGCGCGTGCGTCCGCCAGCGTTGGACGCCGACGAAAACGAGTACGGCTGCCCGTTTGGTCTTGTGGACGATCCGCCAGAACTGCGCCCGCCACTGCTGGAGCCGCCCGACGAGGAGCTGCCGCTGCTGCCACTACTACCTCCCCCTCCTTTACCGCCGCCGCCACCTTTGCGCTTTTCAAGATGGTTGAAGAAGTCGAGCGGGGATGCGACCTCGCGCACCGAGAGATCTGTAGAGGGGGATGAAGGAGGGGCCGAAGCGATAAAGGAGATGACGGAGAAGAGGAGGGTTATCCGGAGGAGGAACTTCATTGTCGCAATATCACACTTGGTACCACCACTTTTACTTCTTGCTTGCGACCAAAAAAAAGAGGGATGTCAAAGGTTTGCGAATATTATTGTAGGTCAGGTTTCAGGGTGAACCCCTCGGTATCGTGCCGGCGGGATAATGTGGTGTACTGTAGGTCAATATATTTGTGACAAACGCGCCGGGCGTAGATTTCAACAAAGCGCAACACAAGAGTCTTTCTTTCTTCTCGTCCAGTATATGATGCATATGTGGGAGATGGTACGCTAACAAAGAAGCAACCGGTACGGCAGATACGGAGGCAATTTTGTTTGCACAGCCCTCTCGCGAGTTACAACTCGACTCGGTACATCAAACAGGACACGGGATGTTGAATCATCAACTTCTCCTTCCCCGGAATCGACTGGCTCAACTGCGCATCCAATTACGACTGATTAGCACGAGACCCATGCATTGGTCAGTAGAAACGCCTTGCCACGCGCCAAGGGGCGTATTTGCCGATTTCCGCGGCTTCGATACGTCAGGATGATCGATGAGGCAGTGCCCCCCATTGAATCAACTTATACTACAGACGATCCGGTATGATGTTCCATCCACATATATTGGCGTATATACCATTTCGCCTCTCGAAGCATCAGCAGTCTGCCTGGTGAGCCTGTGAGCACTAAGCCTTTTAAGGCCTCCACGAATAAGATACAGATCGGAAGCTTGATGGCCTTTCCAGGAATTATCTGCACGGCACGCTGGTCCAACTTGGCAACAATGCTTGGAAGCCTTGATACCTGCAAGAGAAGCTCGGCGCAGTTGCGCCGAGTTACGGGATGGTAGCCTTTGGGTATTTGAGAAAGCCATGATGGCGCACTGCAGGGCGAATTCTCCCTACTTGTTGATTCCACCACCGTGCTCGTTTTGTAATAGTACAATGTCGGAGAAGTCCTCTGTCCACTTCAAGTCAGGTCGCGACGAGTAGCTTCGTACCTATAGTGAAGCACAGTCAGTAAGGAAGCACGGGCACATAGGCTATTGGGACTGAGGGCCGTGCCCAAAACAGCGAGTTGATCACGTACCTCTTGCCTCTGAAAGCCCACACACCCCAGTTACCACAACTAATGTCCTGGGGGTCAAGATCATTCAAGTCCCATCTCAAAGAGCGGAATCTGTTCTCCCCAGGTTCCATGAGGAGGTCGACTTCGCCCGCGCATTTCTCCATGACCCACTGCCAGTCGCGAGTCATATCCCACTCTGTATAACCTGTGCACAAGACAGGGATTTTGGTCTCCAACAGGCGAGGCAGAGTGTTTTCCCACTCCAATGAAGAGGCGGGGTGTCCTAGGCCTGGGTGGAACAGCATGAAGCAGTCGAAATACGGGTCGTAAGGATAGAATGCATTTGCTTCGTGCAGAGTGTGGAAATAGTCCACATAGGTGGTGATTTTCATCTTTGGCGAAACACGGTCTTCAACGATGGCACCAAATGGATTCTGAGATGTCCTCTCTGGCAAAGGAAACTCGGCGTCGCGATTCATCATGGACTCGGGTCCAATGAATATGAGATGTATGAGGGACTGGGGGAAAAGGTACGACAACTGCGTCCACACTTCGCGGGGTAGAGATGATTCGGCTCGTGCACCTAGGACGAATATCCGGACGGGCGGACTCGACAGCCTAAGTCCTTTGATGTCTTTGCCTTGGCCGGTCTTGGGTGGATGCAAGGTGTACCGGAGTGCTGTCGGGGTCAGCATAGAGCAATGTGTTGAGCAAAAACGAAGACTCACCTGATAAACTCTTCAGTCCTTCCGGAGTCAACCTCCCGCCAGGCCTGATATTGTATGGGCTCAGCTCATGCAAAACACTCCCAATAGTGAGGGGATAAGTCAGCAACTTTGTGACTTGTCGCATGCTCCTCTCGTCGTTTACCGCTTCAAACTGTCGCGTGTAGAGAAAGGTATCCCAATTGGTCATATTCACTAAGGCTTCATCCATCTGCGGCCCGGGATACTCGAACTCGGGAAACCATCGTCCCGATCTCAAATCGTGGTCATCCTCGTTGATTTGTCTCAGCGTATCACATATTTCCAGGTGCGCTTCAAAGTCATCTGCCCAGTGTTCCTCCGAGCAGTACGTCGCGATGCCGCAGTCCGGGCACTCGAACGAGACGTGAGCAGGAGGCTCCGTGCTCACGCCTTCGATTTTCCTCGCTTCGGGGTCGTGGGGTGAAGTCGGCACGCGAGTCTGTTGATGGACTGGATGTGGACACAATGCATGCTGCTTCATGAACCGCGCTCTTTGCCGGATCTCGGGGATGGGGGACCGGGAGAAAGGGTGGAAAAGGTTGCCTGGTCCCAGGACCACTCTGCCATGGGCACGCCACTCGCCGTAATCGGTAGGGGGGATATTGTGTCGTTCGAAGTTATCTGGTTCTTCTGCAGGAGCGGCAGCCGTAGACGCAGACCGCATCGTCCTTCTAGAGCTTCGGTTCTGTTCCATTCTCGGTTGGTCTCGTGGGGTGTGCATCAACGAGGTGCTGGAGGTAAAGCTGCGTCGACCGGGGATTTGCTGGACGAACCTCGCATTTGGCCGTTGTCGAGCGACGCCCGAGAGTGCTCGCGCACATCTCAAGCAGGTGAACAAACCCTCCATTGGCTGGTGATGTGAGGTGAGTATCAAGTCAACAGAAACAGATGCATCAGCCGCGCAATTGAGGGCAGGAGGAAAACGGAGCTTCGTCGCTTGTCACCAGATACACGCCAAGGTTTGGAAAACTACTCGAAGCTCGCGCCCGATGCAGCAAGAGGGTGATGCTGCCCTTATTCAATCCAGGTGGAGTCAAAGAACACCAATTGCAGTGGTTAGCTACCCTGGGGCACCAAAGACATCTATTAAATGAAACGCTAGTCCCTTAAGAGGTATCTATTGAATCCCACTAAGCGGCACTAGTACGTTTCTCTATTTGATCCATAGTATATATCCTCCTATGAGTAGTAGAACATCATGCGCCTCCATTTGAGTCACAGCGCCCGCGATCGAACGGCTTCCTCGTCGGAGCGCCGCGCCTGGTCCCGTGCAAGAAAGGTCTAGCCTGCTGGCCAAAGTCTTTGCGTTCCGATCAACACAAGCTTTGAGCTACCTCAATCAGGCTGTGCTGAAACTTCAGCGCCACCTGTCTTGTCACACGTCGAAAGCTGAATGGTGGCCTGGTGAGCATGTTAAAAGCTATACAAGACACAAATGACAACTTCTCCATCAACAATAATGGTACGAGGCGTCAATTTTTGATTGGAAAACTGAAGCTTTCCCATGTGAGAATCCAACTAAGAGCGTGAGGTCTATAGAGATCCTATATCTTGACTCAATTCTTTCTACTGACTCCTATCAAGACAATGTGCCACGTCAACTACATTGTTTACCAATGCACGCACGAACAGTACCTTGTTGATACCTTCCGACCGTGCGACGAGGTCAATCGCCGTAATGCGGGCCGAGATCGCGCGGAAATGCTGAGAATCGTGGTCTCAACGATGCTACCACAAGATGTATCCGTTTGACTGCGCGGAAGAGAGCTCTGTTCTATCAAGAGAGATGCTCCTCGTGCAGAAGAGCACTCAAAAACAACCGGAAAGAAAAGGACACGGATGGTGGAGGTAGTCCGCACAGTGAGGCGAAGACGCCCGAGGTAACAAAATAAGCCCAGCAATCTCAAAGACGGGAAACTTCTCGTGACCAGACAGCCCGAAGCAGTGTTCGGTTTTCTCAATTGATGTGTCTCGAGCAAGGTTGAGGGATGTGGTCGATACCAGCATTGTGTCCGTGAGAATATACCCCAGACATTAATAATTTCATCAATTCGATGAACACGAAGTGACGCAACCCGTGGCATAGGGATAAAGAGCTTTCAACCCTCATCCAGGTCCATGTTATCATGATCTTTCTGTTTGTGAACTCTTCGACGGCGGAGATTGGCACCTGGGTTCCCTCTATTCCCGTGAAGTTCCTTCATCTGGAGCGCGGCACTCCGTTGAGCGTCACCGACGCGTTGAGAGAGCATCATGGCATCTTCTTTGACGATTGAATACTCCTCTAATTTCTGACCCAACGAGCCTTCTATTCTTAGCCACAGCTCGACATCATACTGTGTGACGAGGGATAGAGCTGTACCGCGTTTCCCAGCACGGGCAGTCCTGCCGACCCGATGAATATAGGTTTTCCTGTCGTGAGGAGGGTCATAATTCAGGATGATATCGACCGAAGGTATGTGAAGTCCGCGGGCTGCGACGTCGCTAGCCACGAGTAAATTTCGAGATCCGCGTCGAAATTTGTTCAACGCTTCAAACCGCGCTCTCTGTGAAAGCTGGCCATGAAGAGGCGTGGCCGAGAAATTCAGACTCTGGAGCATCATAGATATTCGCTGAGCCTCGTTGACCGTTCGTGTAAATATAATACCTGTCCGTCCTGCCATGTCAGTGAGTTGATGTACCAAGTACACATCTTTATGCTTGTGGGGAATGAAAATGTACGACTGAAGAAGTGTCGCGACAGTCTGATTTTCCAAGGACACGGAGATTCGGAGAGGATTCGACAAAGAAGCTCGTTGTAGAGCTTCGACTTTGCTCGATAATGTCGCAGAGAATAACAAGGTCCGTCTACGCGGTAGGATTTTCAGGATCTTATCCAAGATTGGCCCGAAATCAAGATCCAGGAGCCTGTCCGCCTCGTCGATGATCAAATATCTCAAGAGTCGTAGTGAGAACCCTCTACTATTTTCCAAGTGGTCCAGTAAACGGCCTGGCGTTGCGACCAAGATGTATGGTTTCTTCCCCAGTGCTATGGCCTGCGACATCATGTCTGCGCCCCCAATCAGGACAACACACCGGACATATATGACAGCACCTAGCGTTTCAACAACGTCGGCGATCTGGTGTGCAAGTTCTCTGGTTGGCGCAAAAATCAGAGAGTGTAGTGGCTGTGGTTGATCCAACAGGGCCTGCAAGACGGGCAAGACATATGCTGCTGTTTTGCCACTTCCTGTCTCAGCAAGGGCGACAAGGTCTCTTCCTTCGAGCGCCAGTGGGATAGCCTGTGCCTGGATAGGTGTAGGTGCTCGATAGCCAAGAGAATCGCAGGCCTCGCATAGCGACTCGATAACACCAAGATCCTGAAAAGTCAAGGGAGGGTTATTCGCAGCAGGTTGCCCGTGTTCCAAGGGCAGGATTTTCGTGTAGATGGTCAGAAGATGTGTCCATGTCTTGTCGGTGGCATGTGCAGGATTGTGGTAGGATCAACCAGTTCGTACGTGATATAGAATTGTGCTTGTGGTTGACCCCAGTCAAGACTACTATTTAGTAGCGCAGTTGGTCTTGCGGAGGCTAGTGATTTAACCAGAGGCTAACAGATCTACGCAATCTTAGTGGAAATCTAACAGTCACGTGAACAGCTTGGCATTAGGCTCCAGCTCCAGCACTTTGAGCAAGGGCGCTGCTTTTACCTCCACATCAAGAACTAGTGAGATACAATCGCCTGAGGTTATGACAAAAGGCTGGGTTTGATATCTAAAGACGGTATCTTCCCAGTCATGCTTTTTATTCAACTCAAATTATGCGCAAGATTAGGCTCTTATTCTAAGAGCGCTGAATTAACGCCAGACTGTGGTAGGAGTTACATAGAAAATGCACGAAAAAATCCGCTGAGACGCTCACAACCCAAATTCCCGATCTCGTTCGGTTCGTCCGTCCCGTAACCCAAACCCGACGATGCAAAGCACGAGAACATTTATGAAACACCGGGCCTCTTCTTCCATACGACCGCAACCTTGACCAAAACCCTGCCGGTCTTGAACCGCCCCATGCCCGGAGGCCCGACCTTTTCAAACGCGCCCATAAATCCGGCAAACATCCAGTTCTTGTCCATGTTCTCGTCCAGGACATTGTCCCCCGGGTACAGCGCCTGCATGTCCATCTTATCCGGCAGTTTCGCTGTCACACTGCTCTGTGCGGTCGCGTCGGGGTCCCACGCTTTGTGGATGAAGACGGGTGTCACGCGTTTCGAGTCATCGTTGAAATCGGCGGGGTTGGGGTCAGATAGGAGCTCGATGCCGGCGATGCGGTTGGCGCCGGGACGATAGTAGACGTTGACGCGGTTGATGGACGAGGCGCTGAGGCTGCGGTCTTCGATCTGTTTCCAGCGGTCCCCCGCGGGCTTGCACCCGACGTACATGTTGGCGAACATGGTCGCTCGCTCTTCCGCGCTGGCGTTCCTGACGCCCCCGGACTCCTCTGCCTCGACGGATTTGCAGTTGCGGTGACAAACAGCCTTTTTGTTCGCGTACCCGAGCCCGATGCCGCTAATGGCGTTGTGACTGTCCCGGATACGCCGGCTGTGATACCACCCGGCAGTAAACGGCTGTACGGCGACTCGCTGGGGGTATTCTTCGTCGTCGAGGTCGAAATTTCCAATGGCGAAATGCTCGTGACTCTTATACGGAGATAGGGGCTCTCCGATCACATCCCACGAGTAATTCAATGGGTCGTTCCTGATATGCTCGACGCCTTGTAAGTCGGCGATTTCCTTGTCTCGCCACTCGCTTCCACTGTTGTCAAATTTGGGGATGGGCAATATACTCTGAATGACGCCGGGGCAGATGTACTTTGGAAGACTGTACACGTGCCGGCCCTGGTCGTCGTGTTTGGTGATTGACCTCGCGGGATCGACCACGAGCCCGGCGGCCTGCTCCTGGATGTAGATCATCGAAGAGCGACACAGCAGTCTCATCATGCTGAGCTTCTGCGGGTCCGGGTCCATGCTGGTGAGCTTGGGTGTTGGATCTCGAAGGATGACATCGAGGTTCATCAGTGCCCGGGTCTTCTTGTCTGTCCAGGCCTCTGACGTCGGGTCATCCATTTCCGACGTGCCAAAGTCGATGGTAGGTCGCCGTGTCGTCGCGATCGCATCTCCACTCTGCAGAGCCGCCTTTTGTATATCCTTTGAGGCTTTGTCGTCGTCACGGTTCCGAAAGTCCTGGGGGTCCTTGATCATGGCGTTCAGCTTCTCACACAGATCCTGAAAGGCCATGAAGTCTTCGTACAGCGTGCTGGTGTAGATGGCACAGTGGTCATAGGTCAGCGGCAGCGGTATTCGCGGGTTCGACAGCCGGTGGTCGTGGAAACTCTTCAGGGCCGTGTACGGGGTCAAGACGGCGCGGATCTTTGCGGGTTTCGCCGCCACCATCGACGGAAACGCATTGGCGATCAGGATCAGACTGTCCATGCCCCAGGGGAAGTCGTGATTCTTGATCTGGCCGCCGCCGCGCCACTGGATGCGGATCGAGGTCGTGGCTTGAGAAAACAGCCGATTGCGTTCCTGCGAAGCATCCATTTCCCCCGAAGCTTGCACTGGGAGACCCATGGGGGTCAACTGCGCCGACGCATGGACGGCCAGTTGTCGAGAGTTCTTGCGGTCTTGCGACTTGATGCCCACCCAGGCGTAGATCTCGCCTCCCTCGACGAAGTCGGAGATGAAGCAGTCGCCGTAGATGCGGGTGAATTCCACGCTTCTGGAATGTGCATCCTTCATTACACCTGGGTCCTTGTCGTCTCCGAGCGCTTCATTCAGTCCGGGGACCTCGTTGAACGACCATTCTTCCTTACGATCGTCGGCCTCATTGACGACCTTGACGTGGACGAGGAAGTTGACGTCGTTGGTATTGAGGTCGTCCCGAGTGGCAAGGCTGCTTCGAGCCTCTGCTCCAGGACCTAGGCTCGTAGCTTTAATCGCGGCTGAAGCATTAAAGCCCATGGCATTGTTCATCTCCACAATGCTCTTGACCTGTTTCGACGAGAAGGTCACGGTCTGGTTATGCCGAGCGTTGGGATCGAGTTTGAGCAGGTACGGCAGTTTCGGCTGCTGTGGAATTTCGGGGGCACTGGTTTTCTTCAAGCTCTCGGTCAACGTCGCCAGGATATCGTTCATTTCGAGAGGTGGTTTCGTCGCCGACGCCGGCGCAGCTTTCGACACCGAATCACTTCTCGTGTGCTCAGGCGACAGGGTGTCGGCTTCGCTGATCGAAGCGCTCGTCCGCACCGGGTTCTCTGGAAACCGCGTGATTGTGACGGCATTGTCGATGCGAACTTCTTGGATGTAGGAATTATAGCCTTGGCCGCGCTTCATGCGCACATTGTACAGAGGTCCGCTGTCATCCATCTTGTCTCTGACAGTGTGTCAGTAAGGACAGCAAGAATAAAAGAGCCAGGAAGCCACATCTCGAGGAGCAACGGAGTTTTGAGGCAGCTCCTCCTAGCAGTACTCGGTACGTGTGCAAGTCTCCATTCAGCTACTTTTCACGTAAAGCCGTTGCGATCGCGAGCGATCTTCAACGGCCATACCGAGGATGGTGTTCGAAATCCGTCAATCGAATCATCTGCCCACACCGTTTTGACACAAGACCGTGCAGCTGAAATCGCCTAATTAGTCGACTGTTGACCGTGTTGGGTTGCGCTAATGCATCGAGGAGTTTAGGGAAGGGCTGCGACGAGACCCAGTGAGAGGGAGAGACGGGATCATGTCAAGCAATGCATGTGAGCAGCAGTGAAGAGAACCCTTTGATGTGAATGGAAGACCTGGAGCCTATCAATTTGTCCTCAAGCGAGTGTATGTCCCATGTCGTGTGCTCTTCAGCTTCAAATAAAGCTGAAAAGAACTCCCTCCCCTCTCTTGTCTTGTTTGGCCTGGATGGTGTGGTGTAGGGACACAGGGGTCCTTAATTCGTTGACACCTCCCAGCCCTTTGCGGGGACTCTTGACAAAAATCCTCTGGGGACTTGGTGGACTTGGGTGAACTTGGTCCCCGTGTCCCCGTAGCGGGTTGAGCGTCTGACGAGTGAGAGATGCAGGTGATCCACTGAGGGCGGGTTGTCCGGGCCGAGACAAGGTCATACCTGACATTCATCATTGTGTAAGAGGGGAATTGGGATCTATGCCCTGTTCTCGAGAACGGCGTTATTGCTGAGTTGCGTTGGAGCTGGTGGGCGAAATATGAATTGGTTTTGTACTCGACAAGATGGGTAAGATTCTATCATGTCCATGGTGGCTGACGCCGGGACTTATTGTAGCCCCCGAGCCTAACAAGCAAAAGGCGGGGGGCACTAGGGGCGCACAGTAGTTGACCGTTTTAACTATTATCAACGGGAAGTTTAGGATAAGCATTGCTTAGTGCAAATTTTATCTTGTTGAGAGGAGTCTGTAGAATATATATATTTCTGCGGTTAGCTGAGCCCAATATCAGTCGGTATATTCCATTGCGACTTCTGATGCAGTGGTTTTGAATGAAGGTCCCGCGTTGGGATTTGGTATACGTGCAATGACAACGGAATCATCGTCCATGACAAGCCGAAAGACTTTGTTGAACCCGCCTTCGGCCAGTTTTATCATAGACACGCAAGCCTGCGCTCGCTCCGACGCTCTTGGCCGCAAGGCGTTGGAGCTCCGGTACGTTGAACCGCTTGTACCGAGCCTGGAGCTGTTTCTCTTCGTCCCACAGCCAGCGACCGCATTGTCGGTGTCGGAAGAGGAATAAGACCACGGTGCGGAGAGAGGGTGGGAAAGGCGGATGCCCCGTGCTGGTGAGGAAAGGCTGGTGGCGCACCGAACATCTCGTGGAGATCGTCTGGGTCTAATAATCAAGGAGGAGATGCGATTCCGCCAACTGAAACTGAGAGGTTTATACATGACTTTGGCCTTAGCATCGCATCCACTCTACCCCTATCGTCGTTGTAGACGCGGGTGGAAGCGTGTGGTTGTGTATAACCTGACGAAAGGGGTATCGCACAGACAAACACAAAGATACAGTAGCAGAGGAGGTCCACCTCTCAACGACTCCGATCGGTTCGGTGTGTCGCACTCGTATGGAGTCTGTGGCGTCACAAGAGAAAGTCAGAGGTAAAATGATTGGGAGGACAGAGCCCAACGTCTCGGTCGAAATGATCATTTCTAATAATCTGCATTGTTGCCTAGATTCCTTCCGGGTGTATGAGGCTCCGACGTTACACAAAGACCCCAATAAAGGTTCGCGCCCCAGACAGGTTGACACTGCCCAGACTCAACGGTCCCCATGCATCTCTAAGAGTCAATGTTCTATCCTCCGCTGAACCAGGGAATGCTGCCGAGGACATGGCCGTACAATGTAGCCGCGACAGTTCTAAACTGCAGAAAATTCTTTCAAAAAGATTTGCGTCCTGGGGAAGCCACGTCGTGCGAGAGTTTCTACACTGAGAAGAACCTCGTCACGGCACTCGGCCTTCGCTCAGACCAGCTGGCGCGACGCTCCTGAAGATTCTTTGCATCGTTGGCTGCGATGATGTCTTCGCCCGTCTCGGGATGGGTCAGCATGGACTCGGTATGTGGCCAGAAGCGATTGAAGCCCCAGTAGAAGACGCCGGCGGCGACAAATGAGTAGACGTAACCAATTGCAAATCTGCAAGAGTTGAGTTTTGTCAGTACAGTTCCGATGCAGCTAAGATGATTGTTGAGGAAAAGAGAACCAAAGAGACTCACAGATGTTGACCGCCCAGAGAGACGCTTGTCGTGCCATGGCCTGCCACAACGATGTTGTTGACAAAACCGGGAAGTGGAGGAGTGCAGCCGATGAAGAAGGCGACAACCGCGCGCCAGTTGGTCGCGAATTTGGGCGAGTAGCGGTATATGCCGTGAAAGTTGTACATGTCGGGCACAGACACATTTCCACGACGGACGATGAAGTAGCTATGGCACGGAACAAACGAGTCAGCGGTGTTGGATATGACAAAGCGGAGGAACAGGTTGTGGGGTCTTGGGAAAGGTACGTACTCAGTCATGAGAATGGATGTCATGGGACCCAGGAAAATGGTGTAGCCACCCAGGAAAGCAAGGAACTTGGCGGCCGAAGCGAGGATTTTCCACTGTCGTTCTGGTCAGCAGGATATTGAATAGCGTTTGTGAACGAGAAGTCTGGCTTACCGGCACAAAGGCCCAGCTTCCAATGACGGCAGCAAGAAGCTGACCACGGCGGATGTTGATGTACTTGGGGCAGAAAGACATGAGATCGTTGGCTGCGCTGATAGAGTTGGCCGAGATGTTGATACCGAGGGTGACGATGATCAGGCCGATGGCGCCAAATGCGGCAGCAGCGCGGCCACGGTGAGAACCAGACTCCATCCAGAGGTGGAGGATTTCAATGGGGTTCCAAATGATTTCGCCATAGGCACTCTGAGCAGCAGCGGCAGTGAAGATGCCAAGCAGACCAACGACAGCTATGATTCCATATGATTAGCAGACTGTTGTGGAATGGTGTAGTGACCAACATACTGAAGATGGCGGGAATGACCAGCGCTTGCACGTTCTGTGCGCTGGGTTTGTTGGCGTATCTCGAAAAGTCGGCAATGTTCAAACCCAAGGTGGCGTAGTTGCCCAAGACTCCATTGAGGTCTGCAGGAAAGGTTCTGGTCAGAGGACGCGGGTTCTCTTGTGAAGGCAGAGCATCACTTACTGCCGAAGAAGGCCCAGGCAAGAGTCGAACCGCTGATAGTGGTGCCTTGGGTAATGACCGTGCTATTACTGATGGTGCCGCCGGCCTTGTGCAGCGTATCGCCGAAAATAGCCAAAAAGATGATGGGGGCGATAATACTCTTGAATGCAAAGAAGTATTGGACCTGATCGGAGTTAGTCACTGAATCAAGGGGGATTTGGCTGCAAGATCATACCTTCGTGTAAGGGATGCACAGGAAGGGAAGTTGAAGTAAGAAGTAGAGCAAAAAGGCCACCATCCCCGCCGTAGTGATACCTTCATCAGCGGGTATGTGATTGGGTATCCGGGCAAAGCTAGGCCAGATGGCTGTGAGGAGCACTTCCATACATTGACCACCAGTCGTGGTTTGGACACTATCCGCAGTTAGCATCCTGAGGCGCAGATTTCTGGGTCGAACAAACTGACCCGAGCCAAACAATGGCGAGGACGCAACGGGACAGGACGACAAAGTAGCTGAAGTAGTAGCCAAACGGCATACGTGAGAGCACAGGAAACGGTGTGTGAAGCTGTTCTGAATCAGCTCGGCGCCATCATTCGGAGGAGCACACATCTCACAATGGCACCCATTCTACCATTGACGGTAATGACGAGACCCATGATGGTGTTACCCAGCACACAGGCGCCAATTGCCATTTTCCAGCTGAGACCGACGGCGATCATAGAAGAAGCTGCATCATCAATCGTTCAGAATCAGAGCCCTCTCAAATGCAGCAGAATAGCAGCCTTGTCAAAGGATGGCTCACCAACTTCCCAGTTCGACACAGCCCAGGCGTCGGCCATCCAGTAGGCGACATATGCGCCCCAATTCCATGTGCGCTTTGATGGTGGAATCGGGTCAAAGTCAGCGTTGGAGGCGCTCGCCGTGGGCGCAAAGCTGCTCTCCTCATGACGGACGGCAAGGGTGAAGCGCGGTAGACGTCTCTTGAAGCCAGTCACGCGACCAACTCCAACGGGCTCGACGGCCGTAGGCTCGACGGCGGAAGAGATGTCCTTCTCGTAGTAGTTTTTCTCGTCGTAGGTCGCCATGGTGGTAGAGCCTGTGTGGTACACAATAATCTCGAGGCGGACGAGATGATGAAGGGAATAATGACAATATTAATGAAGTATTGGCTCCCCCGAACGTGCCCGACCAAATATTTCGGAAGGGATCCCTGTGACGTTTGGATCGCCGCCCGCATTTCAGCTCGAGCCGTGTTCTACTGATAAGCACCAGAAGCCTCGCCTAGCGGCCCTCAGATTGGACTGTCAAGACCAAGACCGCCATTGTCATTCCAAGATAAGAGCCAATAGCCAAGCTGGACAACGGCATCGAATGGGGTAAAGATCTTTGCCCCAAGAAGTTGCTTTTTCGGAGGCACGGCACAAGAGGGTCTAGATGACCTTGACACGTAAAATGTGCGCCACACAATCAACGTTGTAGCCATTCAGGCCAGCCGAACTCAGATTTAGGCATGTGCAAGCCAAACAAGGGCCGGCCACTAGAGTCAAAGCGCTGCAACGCTTATAACTACCTAGGTGGAATTATCAGGGAGTGATACTTGGACGTAGGTAAGCCTGGGCTAACTTATCTTGTAGGACAGCCATGACAATCTGGAGGCGCACCACGATAAGCGAGAGTTGGGAGATAAGGTGAAAAACGTAAGTTGGTTGACTCAATTCTTCAATGCCAGTGGCCAGCAAGAACCGAGTATCTCGTCTGTTATGCCAAAAGCAAGTATCATCTCACCTGTCAAACGATGGCGTTGTAACCAGGGTCAAGAGTGGGAGGCCAGTTCTTTTCCAAGCATTTACGGGCGATGGAACCGAACACGAGGCATTTCTTTTGTGGCTTCGGATACGTCTTGGATGATAAGGACGGCTCAAGTTGCTTTTTACCACGTTGTTAAGCGAGGTTCTGTTCAAACAAGAGTGAGAGACTTTCTTGTATAGCGAATACCTCAATATGTGCTGGCATGACTATGTATGGACATTCACAAAATATCGACGCTGAGATAGAAAGTGGCCAAGACGCTTATTCCCAACAAAGCTTAGTTCGTGGCCCGGCCAACTTTCCCCAAACAAGCTTTCATTGCCCCAGAACCTCACTGAAGACTGAGGATGCAGTCAACTTGCCAAAGGCTCATTTCTTTCGTCTCATCCTTCGTGGACGTGTCGTGACAGCCCTACGATTATAGTTATGTTACCGGTAAGCAGTGGCGTGGATGACAGTCCGCAGAATGCGGGTCCCTCCGGGCGCCATTCCAAATGAAATGATGCCCCCCTCGACAAGTCAGACGCTGGTCAGGCTGGTCAGGCTGGGCAATCCTACCCTGAACGCCTCATCCGCGATCTCTCCTAGGAGCCTCACCGCACGTCCGATCAGCATATCCGCTAGATACGCATGGCTTCGATCAATACATCAAATCCTCTGAGGACAGGCCTGGAGTATCTTGTGGAGCCGCTGCTTTGCAACTCCGCGTAGCAGTTCATGGTTGATTGCAGACACTGCTATGACTACTTTATCGCCACCCACAGACTGATCCTAAAAACGCATTGTGCGCAGCGTAATCCTCTCCTGCACAGCTTACCGACCTCATGTCTAAACTAACCATACAGCTCTGTGGTTAAAATCAAGGTCAATATTCATTCGGTTGAGCATGAAAAATTTAAAGAGAAGGGCAAGGCGTATATCTGAGCTGGAGGGACTTGGACAAAGCCTCGCGGACGGTATCTCACGTAAATTCGTTGCCTGATGGTTGTCGCTTCAGGCTAATTCGCCGGTTCCACAGTCGAAAGAACACTGTCGGGTTATTTATGGGCAACATGCCACTTTGCAAGGCACCCGCTTTGAGATGCAACGGGAAGCCTGACAATGTTGCCGGGCTCACATCTCCAAGCGAAGTGCTTTGATTGCCTGGAGAGTCGAGCAACCCCGAACCCAAGGCTGCCGGGCAGCATATCGAGCAGTTCCTATGGAATGCCGCGATGAGAATGACGCTCGTAATTTACTTGGCATCAATGTCGGTTGACGAGCTGACTTCCCTCCATTCGTCCAGGCCTTTGATCGTCTCTTCGCATTTCCCCCGGATGATCCTATAAGCATCCGCGCCCAAAGCCAGCCTCAATGGGATTTCTTTGCCAGATGCACCCGTCAAAACATCAACAATCACCTTGGCACCTTTTGCGGGATCGCCCGGTTGGTTCTGGTTTGTCCGCTCCACGCGTTCCTCTGTCCTCCGGACAGCTGTGGTGTCGTAGTCTGGTATGTGATTGACGTGAAGGATCTTGTGACCACTGCTTAGAAAGTTTGATCGAAAGTAGCCCGGTTCGATGCTGCAGACTTTGATGTTGAACTCGGCCAGCTCGAGATGCAGTGTCTCGGTGACGCCGCTGACAGCCCATTTCGAAGCCTCATAGATGCCCACGGCGGGTGTGCCGCGCCATGCTCCGATGCTGGAGAAGTTGGCAATCACGCCTGATCGTTTCGCGCGCATATATGGGAGAATCGACCTCGTCACGTTCAACGGGCCAAAGACGTTTGTTGCAAACTGGGCTTGAGTTTCCTCCGGCCTTATGGACGTCAGCATAAACACACATGTCTACCAGGCATCGCTTTGCGCATGAAGGGAAACTATACGTGAGCTCTTCCAAGCCGCCGACTTGACAATACCCGGCGTTGTTGATGAGGTAGTCGATCCGCCCATAGAGCCCGTGGGCCTCTTCTGCAATTGCCTTCAACTTGTCGAGGGGCCAGGTGACGTCGAGACTCATGGTATCGGCTCCGGCAGTTTTGAGCTCGTCGAGCTTCGCGGCATTTCGTGCAGAGGCAATGACCTTGTCACCGCGACGAAGGACCTCGAGGGTTAAGGCCTTTCCGAACCCCGAAGACGTGCCCGTGATGAACCAGACTTTGAAACTTGGCATGTCGGTTTCCACACCTACGTGAGCAACAAAGGTGTAGACTGGCCTCTCAAAAGATATTTAAGCTGAGCGAAAGGTATCAGAGCAGGAACAGTGATTTGATTGATGTATTTCTTCTTAAAAGATTGCAGAGAAGGAGAGAAAGAGAAAGTACGTCAATCTCCCGGGCACGGAAAGGGCTGTCGCTTTTTATCCTTTCAGCATGTGGTCAGCTCTGCCTTTACTCGGTATGTCTTGCATTTACACAAAATATCCACCAGACCAGGGGTGGTTCAGAGAGCCTACTTCTGTCACCCCATCTGGCAAATCTGACGGAGTGGTGCTTGATTTTAAAGCCTGCGCTGGAATTGGTATTGAAATACCTCCTCCTGGTTAAAAACAAAAGCATGAAGAGGAGGGAACAGATCTCATGATTTCTGTGGACCATGAGTTGCCGCCAGTGTTGGCGGAAAATGACAACTTCGACCGCTATCCAAGGTTTATTGGGCAGGCGAAACTTCATTGGACAACACGACGACTGAAAAAGGGAATGCGAGGGAGGCTAAGGTATAGTATGATATACATCATGTAATCAATGTGGACCCTTTCCCGCAGCGACGACACCATGATACCCAGGAAAAGATGGAGTGACTGACGGGGATTTCTACAAACTCCAACGGGACTTTACAGAAACCGGAACTTGTGCGGCCGCACCGGCTGCGTGTGTTTGTGTGCGCGTGCACGACGATGTCGTATCCCATATGTCAACGCGGAGGTGACGGCTAAGGAACTGCAGCTTCACGGATGGGACAGGGTCTCCAGATCATGAGATGGGAGTTGATATAGGGAAACCTGGTGGGGGAAAGCGGAATAGATTGTGGGGTTGAGCACATCTAATATACGCTGTCGATATTCGGTACGTATCAAACTCTGTCCTTGATGATCCTGCACTCAGCTACTAACCGCTCACTCCCGTGAAGTTGAAAGAGTGCTAACGGTCGTCAGGGTGAATCTGTCTTATCCTCTCTGTGTCCATCTACCTGGCGCGTCGAATGTGTAACCACATGCTCTGGTTGACCAAGGATGTCGAAAATAATTCCACCCCCGCAAATCCTCGGCTCGGGTGTCCACCAGTTCCGACTCTAAATCCCCATGTCGAGCAAGGCTTTGCGTCACCCTGCGCTACACTGTTTTCTTCCAGAAACTGACCATGATCACAGTCGCCGTTGCGGGAGCGACTGGGGGCGTGGGCCGATCGATACTGGATCATGTTGAACAGAGCCACAAATTCAGGGTCATCGTCCTGACTCGCAAGGCATCAGAAGCTTCCGTGTCTGAGGCGGGAACTAGATACCTCCATGTCGACTACGAAGATGTGGAAGGGCTTGCTGACATACTGACGACACACAATGTCCACACCGTCGTCTCGACTATCGGCATCAGCTCCCCAGACACGAGCGCGGCCCAGTGTAATCTGATCAGAGCTGCAGACAAGTCCGGCGCGACGAAGCGTCTGATACCGAGCGAATTCTGGGCGAAGACGGTCCCCGAGTACGTCCATCTTGACTCTTGACCTGGAGTGCTCTTCCCCTGTCTTCGCCGCCACTCGAAGTCTTCAACGGACGGGAACTAATTCTCACGGGGTCGCTCTCCTCAGCCTCCTACCTCTAGACCCCACCGTGCAGTGGTGGCTCGATGCCGCGTCACTGCTCAAGTCCAGCTCGCTACAGTACACGAGGATTGCCTGTGGCTGGTTTATGGACTGTAGGTTGAGCTGCCCTGTTCTGCTCGCTCCCTCCCGCAAAGTCTGGCCGGTCGGGGAGTGAGTGCTCGCTTTTGTATCGACATTTCTTCCTCTATATCCCACAAAAGGAAGACTACGCAAAGAACTCTCATCTGACGATTCTGCAGATTGGGGCATGCCACACGTCAAGTCTCACCTATCGGACTACTCCTGGGCAATAGACGTGTTTAATCGCAAGGCAGCCATACCGGGAGACGGAGCCAATGTTCTCAGCTTGACTCTGATTGGCGACGTGGCTCGAGCGATTCTGTTGTTGCTGGAAGCCGAGGACTGGCCAGAATGGACGTTCGCAGTGGGGGATAGCGTTACGTTCCACGAGTTCGTGAGCATCGCCGAAAAAGTACGAGGTCAGTTCACTGCCTACACCTTCTCCCTCACAGCCAGCAATACGGTTCCGGTTGGAAGACCCCGCTGTGCTGATCACCGACATATAAACCTGTCTGCAATATACTGACGCCTTTGGCAAAAACAGGAGGCACCCCATTCGAAATCACACACGATACCCTCGACGACCTGAACCAAGGCAAAGTGACGATTCTGCCGAACCCAGGTTCCGCAGCGTGGGACGCGTCGCCCGCCGAAACTGCGGCGAGGAAAGAGTCCTTGATCCTATTCGGCAAGCTCTACGTCTCCGGAGTGTGGGATCTGTCCAAAGAGCCGCAGTTTTCGACGCGGTGTCCGGATTGGAGACCCAAGAAGCTAGAGGAGTTCTTGGAGGAGGTTTGGCTGGGTAGACCGTGAGCGGTTTACTTTACAAGATGCTCTACCTACTCGGTACACGAGGTACATCTTGGTGTTTGTGGTCAAGGTTTCCTGGCGGGAATGCGGAAAATTGACCTCGAACCACGTGTGGGTAAGGAGTCATTCGCGAAAATCGGGTCTCTATAACTACTCGGTAGACGATAGATGGTAGATGCTAGCCAAAATGCAGGTGATACTATATGAGGCTTCCACCGTAGGTATTGGGAGTGACACTCCGATGATCTACATAGGTATTTGGAGTCATGTACTTGTTTTCTGGCGGCTCCAAAGAGAAACTTTCCCGACGCCTGAAATAAATATTTCTTGGCAAAATTGTGACCCCTTGACAGTTTGAAAAATCGTACGTATAATTATCATTGCTTCACTTCACTTCATTTCCTCTTCCACTTATCACAAACAACGAAACTCCCAAATAAGATGAATCCCGGTTCCTTTTGCTCGTCCTTTCTCTCCCACATTCAGAGACATAGTTCCTCTCGCCGAAACAGGTGATATATGAGAACATGAGACCTTCTACACATATCGTCGAATGTCGGGCGCTTCACGGTACCTCAGTTCTCCTCCTCCTCTTTCTTCTCCTTCTCCTTCTCCTTCTCCTTCCACATCAACCCAGAAACCCTGCTTCTGGCTCAGGCTCAACGCAACAAATCACTTTCCAGCTGCTTGCATCATCCCCACAAGCTCTTCGCTCGCCGAAGTCACGGCCTACAGGATTCCGCGTCATGCGGACTTGTACGGCCAGAGCTGGTGGAATTTATCCTTTCACACAATTTTCCGTTGCAAGAACAAATGTATTATTTGGACCTTCATAGTTCAACCTGTCCCTGTCCGCACATTGGATTGGTTGACTCCTTGCGTGCCTACATTATATATACATTCACCCGCCTCTCCAGTTCTACTGGTACATCCACGTTGTACATGAACAGAGCACGCTGTCTCTAAAAGCATAAAAGCATAAAATCGTCAGGTCATGTCTTCAATCGTTTCGCTCTGAACGCTGCAATAATAAGAAAGTGACCCTCGCAAGCCTTGACCTTGACAGGTAGATGGCCTATCCACCACCAGCCTTCATATTACCGAGCTGAGTATTCTGCAACAAAGCTGCCACAGCCTCGGCCGAATATCCGAAGAAGACGGGCCCATTGAAGATGATTTGGGTTCGGGGTTCTCTGCTCTCAACCGTGTCATCGGTCGGTCTCTTCGGCGGAGACGGCTTCTGACTTTGCTCATGCGGATCATCATGGCGAGACGGCGACGGAGCAGCCTGGGAACTCGCAGCGTGAACCTTGAGATGTGCCACATCATCTTCCTCCTCCAAGGCACTGGGTGTGGGTTCTTTGTCCGGGGGTACTGAGATCCCCCATGGCCGACTAGGGGATTCGCCGACCCGGACTTCTCGCAGGGGTTTATCAAAGTGTGATATTCGCGGCTCTTCATCAGCGACCACGCCGTTCTGAGCTGGGGTTGGAGCGACAGGGGCAACTTCGCTGATTGTCTCGGCCCATTTCTCTACTGCCTGAGTCGACTGTTCTTCGATCCTGTCTCGCTCGGGTAGATATGCTTTGTGTTTGACTCCCAGGCCTTGGATCATGTTTACTAAATTGCCATACTTGGCGTCTAGCTGTCGAGCACTGCTTTCGTTGCCCTGATATCGTCGCACGCAGATTTCGTGACTTCGGGGAATTTCGTGCTTGTGATTCTCAACGTATTTTGCAATTTCTTCCGGAGAATGTTGATCGAGGAAACGGATAGGGCATTGGCCCGGGCGTTGTTCCGTATTTGGCGAACGTGCTGAATGGGTGTCTTGATGGAATTCTGCCGCTATAGGATCATCGTGAGCGGACGAGGTAGGTCCATTGCGCATCTTCGCAAAGGGACATCCCAATGTCCCCTTGACACCAGGAGTCGTAAAATCTCGTTCAAGATCCTCGGGGTCACGATTCCGGTGAGCTATTGGACATCGTGCCCCATTGGGCTGAGGTCCGTGTATCTTCGACATCTTGTAGGTTTGTATGGCTTGCTGCGCTTCGCGGACAGGCAGGGAGAATTCGACGTCTGTGTCAATGGGAGGAAGTTGGCGGAATTTGCGGACTGCTTCGCTCGGTGCAATGGAGGAGGCCGAGAGAGTGCTATCGGCAGCTAGGACCTTGTCATACTGCAAGGATTCAATCAGCACTTCTCATCCCATTCTCACGGACGATGAAAACAGTAATCGGGTGTCTCTGCAATTCAGGTAATACATGCAATATGTCGCTCATCGCTACAAAATGGTTGCAGCTCTTGATCTAGAGCTAATCAAAAGATTCTCATCATAACGCAGTCTGGAAGGGAACAAAAGGCGCGAGGAACCGACTCACCTCATTTGCCGCAAACTCGAGCCTCTCCTTCAAGGCCTTCTCGTTCTCGATGTGCGCACGCACGCCGGATAGCAGGGCATCAAATCCAGAAATCAAGGCGTCGATGATTGCCGAGAGATTGGGGTCTGTAGGAGGTCCGTTCATCGGAGTCGAAGACGTGATTAGAAAGGGGTGATCTAGTGGAATGACTTCTTAGACGGGCACAAGTTGTGCAAAGGCACCAGCAAAAATAAGATGCCGAGCAGGTTGAAATCGGAGCAGGACGCGGCAGCCAAGAGAAGTGTCTAGTTAAAACAGCCAGAGAGCTTTTCCTGATTAGGGCAGAACACCACGCCGGCGCCTCGTGTGACTGCAGAGTACATTATCTATCGCTGTCCCCGATGTCCGGTTCCGATTCCTTGCTCTTCAGGCCTATCCTTCTCAGAATGTTGATCTCGTATCTCAGCCCAAATTTGCCGTCATGGCCGTCTGAGGTTCGCAAAAGAGCCAATGCTATGTTCCGACTTTGGATTTGATCCACGCGAGTCCTCCACTACCAGCGGTCATGGCGAATCCGGCCACCTGGACCACCCCGTTGACGATGGCGAGACCTGAGCCCGCGGCACCTGCACTCTGAGCAATCGCGAAAGCGCTACCGGCTGCAACATTTCCAATCCCAGCCTGCATTGTGGCAGCCGTGGTACCTTTGTGGTGACGGGCGTGAGTAAGTATCGTGATTTGCCGACACGGGGTGCTTTTGCTCTGATTCCAACGTACCTGCAACAACACCACCAGCTCCAAAACCCAACTCGGCGAGTACTGGGACAACGACGACACCGGGAGCCGCAATGAGGATGATGCCGACAGTCCCGACAGCGCCGCAAGCAGCCAGCCCCGGATTCTGAACGGTCCATGCAGCGGCCTGGTGGTTAACAATATTGGTCAGCGATATGTGACAGCACAAAATTGGTATGTTTACACGACGACTTACTGCGGCGGCAGCTTTGGGTCCATGATCTGTAATGGCTTTTGCCGTGGATTTACTCGCTTTGAGGGCAAGTTGGCTCCCCTCTCGTAGTAGAGCTGGCGCAGACATGATGGCGGCTGTATGTTTGATATGATGATGGTTCTGTTAACGAGGAGAGTGAGATGCTCGAGGGACTGTTTGATGAAATTGTGAGAGGCTATGTGTGATTGAGGCTGAACAACGCAGCTCAATGCAAGGTGCAGCAGGTAGGCAGACAACCAACCGCCAAGGTGTCGTGAATTCTGCGCGCGGTGTTTCGTAAACGGTCTCAGCCTTGGTGCTTTGGGTCAGATATGGAATATACGTTTTTAATTCAATGACAGTCCTACTTCAATCTTGTGGACGCAGCGGCAGAGAGATACACGCGTGGGATGAAACCGAAGTCAAAAGCGCCTGAGCCCATCCTCTTACAAGTACAGCCTCACCTGGCCTGACCTAGCAAATGACATGTCAACCTGTACAGAATTTATGAGCGAATCAATAGGACCCCCATGTACAGGGTATTGGTACAAGGCCAGGTCTCTGGCGACCCCTCGTCCCCTCGTCAAGTCCCCTTTGGGCTGGCTGCAGCACGGCCTCGCCTGCCACGTTGCCAATGCCTGATTGTGTGGTTTCCTTTTCAGCGCGCAGAACCCTTGCCGCACCATTTCTGTATATGAGGCTTAATCCTCCGTCTCAAATATTCCTTGGAGTCGAAAGCGCATGCCGAAGTAATCCAATTTTCGTTCCATCATCTTTATACGGCCGGTCAAACATCCACTTACGATGTACACAAGATAGAGTGTTGTCGAAAAGTCCTTGTTTGTATAAGCCGAGGGTTCTTGAGTGTTTTCATTGGCCGATATGGCATGCCTAGGCAAACTCACACTGAAATGCCCGCCAGAGTCGCGGGCCTCCACAACCGAGGCTCCTCTTGGGTCAAATCAATGGGGGGCCAAACTCGGGCTAGCAATGAAATACTGGCACAAACACACCATGACATCCTGCCTTATCTCCAGTTTTAATTGTGATCTCAGATCTAGATTCTTGTGATATTTCCATTCCCCACCGTCACCTTCCCACCATGAAAGCGATCCAAGTCTCGAAATACGTCTCGGAACCGCGAGAGCTCACCGTAACGACGCTCCCGACGCCCTCCCCGCACCCGACAAAATACCTGATCAAGATCCGCGCCTGCGGCACAAACTTCTTCGACATCCTCCAGGTCCAGGGGAAATACCAGCACCAGCCGCCGCTGCCATGGATCGGCGGCCAGGAGTTCGCGGGCGTCGTGATCGCGACGCCCACGACCCGTGAGGGTTCCAAGAGTGCGGTCGCGAGCAGCCTCGACGGCACGGTCAGCACACAAACGAACCACAAGTTCAAGGTCGGGGACAGGGTGTTTGGGGCCACGCACGGCGCGTACTCAAGCCACCTTTTGGTGTCCGAGGATGCCATGTTCCCGATCCCTCCGGGCTGGAGCTTTGTCGATGCCGCTGGCGTGTATGTCACGGCCCCGACGTCCTTCGGTGGCCTCGTTATCCGTGCCAACGTCAAGGCGGGTGACTGGGTTCTCGTGCATGCCGGCGCTGGAGGTGTCGGACTGGCGGCAGTACAGATTGCGAAGGCGTATGGTGCCACCGTTATCGCCACAGCTGGGTCGGAGCGCAAGAGGCAGGTCTGCATGGACTATGGAGCTGACTACGTGGTCGACTATCGAGACGGAACTTGGCCTCAGAAAGTGGTTGCGCTGTGCGAGCAGCACCGAACAGGCAACGGGAAGAAAGGGGTGGACATTGTATATGATCCCGTCGGTAGGTGGTGTTTTCTTCTTTTTTTTCCTCGCAGATCATTTCGTGCACACTCACACACATGGGGTCTTCCGCTGACACTGCTCCACACAATCATAGGTATGATCGACCCCTCCATCAAATGCATAGCGTGGAACGGCCGACTCCTCGTCATCGGATTCGCCGGAGGCACCATCGAGAAGGTGGCCATGAACCGGGTCCTGCTCAAGAACATCAGCATTGTCGGACTGCACTGGGGGGAATACAGAAACAAAGAGCCGGAAGCAATACAAGAAGCCTGGAAGGGCATTTTCGAACTGATCAACTCGGGCAAACTGAGGGGCATGACTTTCACCGACAAGCGGTACAACGGTCTAGAAGAGGTTCCCAAGGCCCTGACGGACTTGGGTGCGCGCGACACATGGGGCAAGGTGGTTGTCGAGCTGGACGAACACTACGGAGAGGACAGCAGGAGCAAGCTATGAACATATTGTGCGCACATTCAGAGAGTTTTACGAGTTGGTCGTTATCCCAAGGATCGGATTGGTTTCTATAAAGCACCCTAGAAAACCGTGGCGTTTCTTGTAAAAAGAAAAAGATGAAACTTTTTTTTCCATCGAGCTCGCCCATCCCATTCGGCAAAAGGGGCTTTGTACAGTTTTTTTCGCCAAAGGTGGTTGGTTTCCCTTAGTCCAAGGCGTCCCATGCGTTTATTGAAGAGCGATGGCCTCGATCTCGACGTCGACGCTCTTGGGCAGTTCCCGCACGGCAACGCAAGTCCTCGCCGGCTTGTGCGAGAAGTACTTCTCGTACACGGCGTTCATCTCTCCAAAGTGCTTCATGTCGGATATGAAGACCTATTGTGTTTCACGACGATCAGCTTTTCTTTCTGTAGTTCGTGGCCATCGTGGGAAAATCGGCATATGTGTTGTATAGCTACTCACCCCGGCCCTGACGACCTTGCCCAACTCGCTCCCGCCGGCTTCCAAGATCGCCTTGATGTTCTTGCAACACTGCTCCGTCTGGTTTGCAATGGAACCCCCGACGAGCTTTCCAGTCGAGTCCGCAGGGATCTGACCTGCTACCCAGATCTGCCCGGCGGCTTTGATAGCCTGGCTGTACGGGCCCGCAGCTGGAATCCGAAAGAATTAGCGGGTTAGTTATCGTCTATCGTCTCGTTCCAAGCTCAAACATCACGCGTCCACATGAAATGACTAGGAGCGGGTCTCTCTTACGAGGGCAGGCATCCTTGGAGAACACAGTAGTCAATCCGGACGACATTTTGGCGGGGTAGTTTTGGAAACGGCGATGATGCTGCTGTCGACAGAGCAGTGAGTGAGGGATGACGAGAGGGTTTATATGTCGCGGAGAAGGGTTCAGACGAAGTAAGATACCGCGACAGGATGTGGACATGGATGTGAGGCAGTGGGGGGGAAGTCCGCGAAGGGCGTGATATTCCGATCGCTGAGTTTTTGTAAATCGACAATCACCGTGTTTCGGCGCTGATATGTGCTGAAGGACTCTTGACGTCAGTCAGAAAGTAGTTAATGGACGAGTGGCTCATTCCGGTGCCACTATGGCTGATTATCCTTCTGTCAGACAGCGATATTTTGCCCCGCGCTATGAAACTCCCACTCTGCTGACTACTAGTACAACAACACAACAACACAACCACCATCATCAATGGCTCGCAGTTTCCCGGTACAAGGATCTGTTGACGTCTTGAGTAGGCTCCACAAGTCCACAGCGATAGCCTTGCCGCTGCTCTAAACTCGCGTTGCTGCCCTGTTACAGTTACACTGGGACTGCCCGCCCCCTACAGACGGACGATGATTAGACATCTCCACAATAGCACTCTTTGTCTTGGTCATCAGTATGTCTCAAGGCGTATAGAGAGAGGCTGGTCGGACAAAAAACACCTACAGGGATAGTCCTTGGGAATAACTTGCATTTGGACATCACATGCATTATCCGGCTGAGAGCCATGGCCGCTGTCCGCCAAAGACCCCCGGACCGGTACTCAAAAGATCCTATCATCTAGGTACAGTGGCTTTGAGAAACAAGAGAAGTACCACAATGGTCCAAAGCGGCCATACAATTCTCAGAAACTTTTTCCATCGGGTAATCAACATATATCTCCATACGGGACAGGCGTTGTGGCCTGGTATCCGGGTGCACATCTCATAGTGCCACGGGACTGGCTTGCTGCTCTGGATCCATCAGGGATGCATCTCCAAAGCTGGTGCCCCTTTACGCCAGGTGCTGACAATGTTCCTTGACGTATACGCCCCCCAATGGTAATTTTCGCTGGCTTCATGGACTCAGGCGATCCTTCCGACTCAGTACATAGGCAGATTTCCGCGGAACGACTTCCCTGCCCTTTCCATCATCGATGACATGAAGCTGGAGACTTCAACATGGTCGTCCTTTTAGTTCGATCTCAGCTCATGCATGCTGAGTAATTCCGTCATCTGGCTCTTTTACCCTGTCGACTTTGACCTGCGCCCTACAAGCCCAACTCTTTCAATATCTTTTCGTTATGCTCACCGACTTCTGGGACTTTGTCCATCCTGGCATGTAAACCCTCCACATCCTCACCTTCGGGAACGCATCCGGGAGGCAAAAGTGCAGGGATCATGCCCTTGGACGTCTCAACCTCGGTCCACCGCCGTCTGGCTTGCAATTGGGGATGCTCCCAAACGCCCTGCATCGTGTTCACCGCTGCGTTTGCAATCTGGGCTTCATCGAGCTTTGCGACGGCTTCGGACACGGAATATTTCTCCAAGGCCTTACAAATGATACTTCGCAGTTCGTCTCTGTTCTGTACACGCAACGAGTTGTTCATGAAGCGTGCGTCGGTCGCTAAACCCGGATTTCCCAAGACGATGTCGCAGAATTTTGCAAACTCTCGTTCGTTCTGAATCCCGAGCATGACTGACCCGCCATCGCCCGTCTCGAAGGGCCCGTAAGGGTATATCGCTGCATGGGAAGCGCCGGTCGGTGTGGGCGCCGGTGCGCCTTTGTAAGTGTAATATAACGGGAAGCTCATCCACTCCACCAGACTTTCGAGCAAAGAGATGTCAATCTTGCTTCCCTTGCCGGTCTTCTGCCGCTGCATCAACGCGGCCAGGATGTTGCTGTAGGCATACATTCCGGCCGAGATGTCGGCAATGGAGATGCCCACCTTGGCGGGCTCGTCCTTGGTGCCCGTGACTGAGAGCATCCCTCCCTCGCTCTGCACGAGCAAGTCGTATGCTTTTTTCTTCGCGTAGGGCCCGTCCTGGCCGTAGCCGGAGATGTCGCAGACGATCAGGCCGGGATGGGTATCTTTGAGAGATTCATAGCTGAGACCCAGCCGCGCGGACGCGCCAGGAGCGAGGTTCTGCACGAGCACGTCGGTCTTTTGGAGAAGTTTCTTCAACACGTCCAAGTCGCCGGGTTTCTTGAGATCCAGCGCCAGACTCTCCTTGGAGCGGTTCGTCCAGACGAAATGGGACGCGAGCCCGTCGACCCGCGTGTCGTAGTCTCGTGCAAAATCGCCCACCCCGGGTCTCTCAACCTTGATGACACGCGCGCCGAGGTCGGCGAGCTGTCTGGTGCAGAACGGCGCAGCGATGGCTTGTTCGATGCTGACGACTGTGATTCCATCAAGCGGTCTTGTCGCTTTGGCTCCGCTTTTGGCTGAAGCTGGAGTCGTTGATGTGAAGCAACGTTGACCGCCAGCGGTGCATGGCCTGGAGCCTCTCGCAGGCGACGAGAGAAGATGTGAACGGTCGCCTTGAACGTTTCTTAGTGGCCGCCCATTCGACACCACTCTGGAACCCCGAAGGGCTGAAGCAAGAGCAATGCCTCTAGATCGCACCGGATTCAACATTCTTTGTACCCTCCTGCTCCACGCCTGTCGGTAAGTCAATGGTCAAGATCGGCTGAGAAACTCGGTTAGAAAGGTGTGTATGACCTCAAGAGTGAGCTTCAAAATGAAAAGAAAACCGAGAATGAAAGAGCAAAAAAGCCACTGTAAGCAGATCTCGAGAAGGACCTCGTCGGGCACAAATAGGGAGAAAAAGACTCTTTGTTGCGGAAAGCCAGCGACGAAGAACAACAGAGGCAGTAATCTCGGAAACCCATATGATGGAGCTGGCTGCCCCTTTGCGAGATCCGGTGCCGAGGCACCAAAGGCTTCGATACGGCCAATCAGCATCTTGAGAGCGATGGATCCGCCCGTCTCGAAACTCCGTTATCGGTCGGCGGGTCGCTGCCGAGTCGAATTTTCGAGAGATGTCTCTCGGAGGATCCATGCATACAAACAAACTTCATTATACCGGATAGCTGGCCCTTTTTCCCAACGTCGTATTATATCGGTTGATACGCTGTACGAACTTTTGTAATTCTCTGTGTCCTTTCTCCCTTCCGTCCTTTTTATTCACAGTGCGGGTCATTGGTTCCTTTGTCTCAGGCTGTAAGTCAGCTAGCCAACAGACAATCAGGCAGACGGGACAGGCGGGCAGGGAGTTGAGCTAGGTCTCGAGAATCCGCTCAGAAGTCTCAAATTAAAGCATGTTTTGTTTCGATTCCATATGAAGCAGTAGGTATTACACAGCAGATGAATTACCTAACGAGCGACGAATATGGCGCATTTCCGCAGCGATGATAGATACAGAACATGAGGGTGTACGTGCGCGCGAGTCTGTGGGTCTCTCTCTACGCCCCCGTATGTGTTCGCACAAACTACACCCCGGTCGTCTTGCTCACATCGTCCTCGTCAATCGACGTGACATGTTCGGCCGTCCCTTTGTTCGGGTCGGCACCATCCTCCCTTTCCCAGACCTCGAGGTCTTGGTTCTTCTCGCTGTCGCCGCTGCTACTGCCCTTTGCGTCGCCGCCGGGCTTGTATATCTGGCGCGACACGTGGTTGGTCAGATACTTGTCGTAGTCCTTGACGCAGAAGCAGGCGATCAGGCCGACGCCCGCGACCGCGATGGCCGAGTAATACACGTACGCGTAGGCCGCGGCGTACGCCCAGGGGAGCTCGGCGGCGACGGCCTCTCGGATCGTGGCGGTGATGCCAGGGACCGCGTCCATTGCGTCTGGAGTGCCCGCGGCGATGGCTGCGAGGAGAGAAGATACAGACGTCTCGGGCAGGCCGGCCTGGGTGGCCACGGGGGGAATGTGGGCCGTGAGCTTGGAGGTGGTCTTGCTGCTGAGAATAGCGAGGTAGACTACCGACATGATCGCGCCGGCGATGGGGCGCATTGCATACAGTATCGCTATTAGGGAGTTGTTAGTTGTCTCGGTCAAGGTTCCGCGGATGTTTCACTTCTGTCGGCTGGAAGAGGAAAAAACAACGGGAGAGGTGGTTGCATTTGGTATGCACTTACAAAATGTCGTCCCGAGATCTGCGTCGCTGGTCTCCATCTGTACGAGCAGACTGGGCATGATTTCCAGAATGCCTGCAGGGAAAGAAGCAAACACGGAGAGCACGGCAGCGCGACTCAGGCTGTTTGGGGTACAAGATGCCATGGCCCCAATGAAAGCCAACATTATGGACGTGAGGAAGATGAGCTGGAGTCGGATATGTTTCAGGATCGCGACCAAAGCTCCCCATAAGACAATGGACGAATAGATGCCCAAAGCGATGGTAGTCTGTTCGTCCCTCCAGTATCAGCTGCACATCCAGCCTTTTATATCAGGGTTCATCTTGTCAAAAAACTTACCGATAGCCACGCGGTGGTCTGCCAACTAGTCGTAGGAGAGCTATAAAGCCGTTAGACCTCTATGGTCGACCCGTCATTGAAAGCCCATACTCGCCGCGGTCGGAACTTACGTGATGGCCAGATAATGCTAAGCACGACATAGGCGGTCCCTGCCACAGACTCGATAATGATCAGCCAGACGAATCCGCGTGAGATCTTTGAAGAAATGGACCGGGACAATCGGGTTTGGATGGGGTCCATAGGCCTCTATGAGTGCAATTTGTTAGCATTGATCGCAGTGAATATGTCATAGGGCCAACTTGCCCCAGAAGACGAATACGATGACCACGCAGCCTCCAGTGATGATAAGTCCTAGAATAGTTCCTGAGGTCCACGACAAAGGCTGACCGCCTAGAAAGTGTCAGTCAAACGAGTAGTCAACCACCAATTTTATACTGACCCCATGAGACGCCCAATAGAGAGAGCACGAGGCCGGCAACAATCAGGAAGCATCCCAGGAGGCTAGGCTTTCACAGTATGTCTTTCTCTCCATTGAACCCGCTCACTCTGGAAAACAACGATTCTCACGTCATCCCACGACAGAGTGGGTACAGCGCGGCGGCATCGTTGGACGCGGCCTCCTCGTCGACTACCATGGCTGGCGCCAACAGACCGGGCAACCCCCCGTCACCATCCCTGCGGCCACCATCATCACCACGGAGGAGGTGGAATCGGTTCTGAAGCATCAAAAGACGCACCTGCGCGACGGGGACATCCTCATTCTCCGCACGGGATTCACCGACTGGCATGTCCACGCCAGTATCGAGGAGCAAGAAGCCGCTTCGAAAAGGGGCGCATTCATCGGCCTCGAAGCCACAGAAGAGAGTGCCAAGTGGATCTGGAATCACCATTTCGCCGCCGTGGCGACCGACACGCTCGGGTTCGAGGTCAACCCGATCCCGTTTCTCCAGCCCGGTGTCGTGCGGCTCCACGAGTGGCTTCTTGTCCACTGGGGCACGCCGATCGGCGAGCTGTGGGATCTCGAGCGCCTAGCAGAAGTGTGTCGAGAGCGCCGACAGTGGTCCTTTTTCCTGACCGGCGGGCCTCTTCATGTGGTTGGCGGAGTCGGCACACAACCCAATGTCATTGCGATTCTCTAGGTGGGGAAACAGTCATAGATATCTACAATGCTACGTGCTGTAAAATAAATGCATGGACTCAACTTTGCGCTCATTTGCCAAAGAAAGGACGTATATGGGTTGCCATGCTACAGGGAAGCGCGAGAAGGGATGTCAATCAGTAAACTTTCTTCCTTTGAGACTCTCCATACGATCTTCTGTCTGGACTATATGTCTGTGTGCGGAGTGGCTCACAGGGCCCATCGTGCCGGTCATAAATACAGAACACTCTATCCACGCCGGGTTTTGGTCATATTCACCCCGTCGTCCGTCCATTAAATCGACTGTATCGCTCGGACTCGGTTCGCCATTGCATTAACAGTCGCAGATATATCTTTCGCTACCAGATCAAAGCCGTGGGGCACACCTGGATATACATGGAGCTCGGTCTGGATATTGGCAGCCGCGATGCGGCGGGCGTATTCGATGTCCTCATCACGGAATATATCCAAGTCTCCCACGTCAATGTAAGTCGGCGGGAGGCCTTCGACCGATGGTACGCGTGCCGCCGCAGCATAGTACGGAACATCTGGTGCGCCTGCTTTGCCGCTCAGGTATGCCTGCCAGCCAGTGATGTTGTCATCGGTGGTCCAGGTTGCAAATGGTTCCAGCGCTTCGATGGGCTTGATGTTGCGATCGTCCACCATGGGATACACCAGGATCTGCTTGGCCAGCGGTGGGCTCAGCCCTTCGTCTCTGGCCTTCAATCCAAGACCCGCTGCGAGACCGCCGCCACCACTGTCGCCCATGATGGCAATGCGAGCCGGGTCAACACCGTATTTTGGGGCGTTGCGGCTCAAATCCTGTAATCCGGCCCAGATGTCTTCGATGGGCAGGGGATAAGGTGCTTCGGGCGCGAGTCTGAAATCTGGGGTGAAGATCTGGACGCCGGACCTGGAGACAAGGTCCTTGATCTTCTTACGGTAGATGGCCACGTCCATGGCGATGTAGCCCCCACCGTGCACATAGTAGACGGCTGATACTGAGCCCGTGGTAGGTGTGCCCTTTTTGATGAAGCGGTAGATGGGGACTTCGAAGCCGTCGCTAGACTTGACGTGATATTTCTCCTCGGAGACCTCGTCTGGGTCGGGATACGCGTGGTACACAGGGCCGAAGAAGGTGTCCAGCGCCTGGCGCCTTCCCGCGACATCTCCTACAGCAACCTTCGGGGCATTTGCCAGGGTGGGGAGCAATGGCTCCAGCACTTTGGCGAACTCGGGATCCAGCGCAAGAGGCATGTTGGCTGGCGCTTATGTAGTTTTGTCGATGTTGGAGGGAGTGAAGCCTTCTTTCTCCTCAGACGTTTTTGAAGCCGTGGAAGATTACCCCGTGTGACGGGCACCCAGGTGGGGAAGATGGACCTTACCGAGAAGGGGTGCCTCTAGCTTGTGCCTCGATGAGGTGATTCGGCTGCGGCATTCGATCGCCGCCCCAAGATCGAGGGGAACCCGTTTACTTCCTACAATAATGGGAAGAACTAACACGAGTTCCAAGACTTAGCTGGCCAGCTCGGCCGAACTCGGTTCAACACTAGGAAATTATTGTGAAATATCGGACACCGGAGGCTTAGGACTGTATTGTTATCCGCAAAAGTCCTAAATGCCAGAGACCCTGTCCAATACAGATAGTTCAAGTGTGTGACAGAATGTCTCTCAATTTTATTCTTTGCCTGAGCTGGATATGGGTTGTACATCAAATGCACGAAGGTGTCGAAAGACTCGATAAAAAGATCAAAAGGTGGTGACAGGAGGAGATCTTCCGGTCTTTGAGGACTGTGACCACGTTTCGAGACTTCAACCTTCCTCTTCTCGGGTGAAGAAGGTGGGATGGTGCTGGGGATGTGCTAGGTTGTTGGGTGGTGAAATCGAAACTCCACCGAATAAGTTCCGCTTCTTCTTCCTAGAATAGTTAGACCCAGGAAGCCGGGTCACGTGGCGGGGTCAGACTTGAGCCATTCTCAGTGCTCAGTTCAGCCCTTCAGCGAAGGGTCTCTAGGAGCTTCACTCGAGGTCCTGAATAGCTGGAAAGGCGAGGTAACTACAATGTCCTTTGTCTGCATGCCGGAAATACATCGAACAAGGAGGGAAACATCCCCTTGTGTGAGAGGAGCCTTATACAAAGCTCCGAACAGCGATCAGTCAGGCCTCTGGCTGGGTGACTGGAGGTGGATGGGGATCCGGAATCCGTGGAGGAACGGCTGCCATCTGCCACTTGAGGACCGGGATAATGAAAACAGCATTCCATCCCGTCAAGTGATCATGGCTTGTGTCAACTAGTGGTAGAGATTACTAAGTGAAGCACTTTTCGGCGCAGTCCGCTAAGCATTGTCTTCTCAGATGCATATTGCCATGCATTCGGAACCCGGTCTCTGATGATTTCTTCTGATCTGTGATCACAAGTCGTTGTGGTGTGGACACATGTGATCTGGATTTTCTCCGTGTGTGCACCTACGAAGATCCTCTCCACAAAGACGACGATCACGGTCACGACCGCGACCACGGTATCTGTGTCAAAGATGATTTCGAAACCGATCCTCCGCATTGGGAGCGTCTCGTCCACGACGGGCGACAACCCGCACGCCATGGCCCGGATGGTCCAACACGGCAATGTCGACGTGATCATTGGGGATTGGCTTTCGGAGATGAAAATTGCCTGGGATGCCATCGTGAAGCAGCAGAACCACGATCTGGGCTATGAGAGGGGCATGTCCTTCGAGAAGCAACTTAGAATGTATCTAGAAAGGAGATATGTTTTCAATAATTTCTCTGACGGACGACATGTCGTATTCGTGCCCATTTCCCTTCAACAGCGTGGCAATAGGTCATGATTCAACAGACGCTGTAGCATATGCACGACAATTGTGTTACCGTTAGTCTCATACCCTACCCTAGAAACCACTTGCTGAGTCGATATGATCCGGGCTTCTGCTTGATCCATTCTCGAGCCCATTTCGGCCACGTCCATCAACCTCCGCAGCGTATATCATGGCCAGGCCGCTTCTTGCCGATACCCGTGAACGTCCGACTCTGCCAATCACGCCTCAGGGACATGATCGTCTCGAGCGAGCGAGTCGCGATGTTGAAGTACGACATCTCCCCGAGGGCGCTGTAGCAGAGAGAGATGTTTTCGTGGGCCTGCATGCCCTTGTCTCTCGAGTAGATGCAGCAGTTGTGGACGTGGATCATGGCGGCGGTCAGGATGATGGAGACGATCTGCGGATGCATGAATCGCATCCCCCACTGGTGGCGGTACATGACCAGCAGTCGACAGATGGCCGTGGCCGAAGCTTCGCAGATCTCGGCGCTGTCTTTGAGCATGCCGTCGTGCGACGTGTTTGGGACTGACGGCGAGATGAACGGCCGGCGAAGCATTATCATGACTTCGTGGAATTGCATACTACCCCACGCCATGAAAGGTGAGTGAGGTTGTGTTGTCATATGGTCAAGGGGGAAACAGGAAGAGTAAAGATTGTTGACTACAGGAGTATGACATAAGGACAAAGGGCGTGCGTGGTGCAGTGTCAACTTACTGAAGCACCAAGACAGCTGGCAATGTGGGCTTATTTTTGTCAAACGACGGGTCGATCTTCAGTTTCTCTGGCAGGCTTTGGTGCCAACTTTGAAGTTCCCGCGTCATGTTGTCCACGAAGAATAAGGTTGTGTCTGTAAGCGTAGTGTGCAAGCCCGAGTACCTGGTTAGAATGGAACTATTAGTTTTTCATTGTCTTTATTAGAGTTAAAAGAAGAGGAGGGAGGGCCCAAGTACAGGATTTTGGACATCTTCCGGATCTTGCTGCATAGCTGTACGAGATATAGATGTGTCTCGCCCACGGCGGACGGGTCTAGGCTTTTGTCAATATTCAAGACACCGTTGTGGTCCATATAAGGCTTCCAGGGCGTTGTGGTGACCGGCTGGGGAACTGGGACAGAAACATCCTCGTAGCGCATCGAACATGGCCGGCCGCTATAGACACTCCACAAGCTGGTAAGACAAAAACAAAAGTAAGTCAGTTTCGTGAGGACCATGGGATCAGAGAGTGGAGAACACCTACGTATCGAGAGCCTGTGTCGACCAGAATATAGTCCGACGCAGGTTGGTGTGCTCTTCCGACTCCTTTTTCGAATCGAAAGTAGCGTCTAGATCGAGATGCAGTCCCAGGTCCGACAGGAGTTGGACCGCCATTCCTAAATACAGCCAGCCGCGAGAGTCCCGTGCGTATGCCGCCTCGTGGGCCGATAAAGTGCCCAAGGCTTGTACAGTAGCCATGCATGGACTGTCCATCTCAATTTCGAGCAGTGTCTTTGCCCTGTATGCGAAGAACTCTGGTGGGTCGTCGACACCGGGAAGTCTTTGGCTGGAGTAGGAGGCGCCCACGGCCAGAACGGCGTTTTCTAACGTGGGGGAGAAGTATGCTGTCGGCACACCCGCCCGGTACAGTGCTCGGTGGTGGTAGTACATGGTCTCATTGACGATGTTGAGCAGTGAGTTATGCCACGCAAAGAACAGCTTGGTGAGATGCTCTTCGTATGTAGGGTCGCTTTTCCACTGCAATCCTGCCCGCGCAAGGTCGGTCTCGCCGTGAGAAGCTATCGTGCGTATGTTTGGCTGAAAACAGTAGACCAAGGGATTTTGTGTGAGGTGAAGGTTGCTGGTCGCCCCATAGTATCTTCGGAGACCGTCCTCGGCGATGCGTAACCGGCCGAAGCGACTGATTAGCTGCTCGGTTGCGTCGTTTTCAATCCGCTGCGAGTCCCTGATAGTATCTGGTAGACCGCTGGCTGACACAATATGGCCTGCGGAGCTCTCGTTCGACCGTCGATTGCTACTCTGCTCGTTCCTGGCACCGGGTATCTTGGCACCTCCAAGATCAGGGAGTGTTTCAAATTGCTCTGTAAACGGTCCAGGTGCTATGGCCTCGGATAGCGTGTCAATCGACAGAGGTGCAAGTACTGACGTATTCTTGTCCGGTTCGATATCTATATCAGAGCCTGTCATCTCGAACCAGAGTCCTAACGCATCCACATCTTCATTGTGACCCGCGTCTGAGCAGTTGAGGAGTTCTGCATCAGCCACGTCCATGTCCTGAGCACAACCCGATAGCAGGAAATTCTGCAGGACATCCTCTTGGCTATCAGCCAGGGGTGTGTAAGTGTTGGCCACGAGTGTAGTTCCTGGGCTCGAATTCTGTGTAGTGTTAGGTTGCTGGCTATCAGTCAGATTCCGATCGGCGATGCTCTTGACGGGCCTGGTTGCATTGGAGGAAGACCTGTGACAGGCAGACTGTGAGAGCGACAACCAAGATGTGACAGCATCATACTAACCTCCGACGATCTTCGCCAATCACGCAGTCGATATTGCGGGAGGTGCAGTTGGAGCAACGTGGGTGGCCGTTATTGCACTACCCAACATCAGACGCCGAGGCCTTTCCAGAACTCGGGATTTGGACACAGGGGCATGGTGCACATGCGAACATGCCCTGGAGACTTGCCTTGATTTTGGATTTACGGCATGCGAGGCATGCGTGTGGGGAGTATTTCCGTTTTGCTGGCTCATTCCGAGTCGGGGGTATGCCGCTCAATGTATTTAAAGACTGCATACTTGTCCAATGAGGACAAGAAGAGGCTGGCGGAGTATGGAAATGACAGCTTTAATCCGAGCTGGAACTGGACAAGAGAACAGTCTACAACACCCACGACACGGAATTTCGAAGCTCAGACGTATCGTGAGCTGTTCATAACCCCCCCTGGGATACTGTACGGCGAGCCGGGTTTAAAGGACCGAAATGGCCCTGTAGGAGCTCTAGACTCTTCGGAGAGCGGAGGATTGGAGGAAAATGCGGGGGAATGATATCCATTACCCGTGTTACCGTGGTTGTACTGGGGTATACAACGCCAAGAATCTTCAGCATCCCGGCATGGAGTCTACACAATACCTAGAAGCAAATGTTTGTATACTAAGCACGAAAGCTCCCTCGCTGATATGCCCTTGTGAGCGTGTCTGTGAGGCTCGCCTGGTAGAGACCTACACTTGTCTGCAACACGTGGTGAACTTCCCTAATTAGCTACACTACAGAGTATAGAGATGGCCAATCATAGAGCTTTAAAAGAGAGATAAAAGTGGAGTCTCCCTCCTCGAGTAATAGAATCAATCGGTTGGAGAACAAAGACAGGCACAATCCCCTGCATATCAAACTCAGGAGGCTGCACAACTACTCTGCGATACTTGACTTGCCAAATTCCAGCGGACTGATGCTTACCTCACCGGCACAATACTGACGTTTCTGTGGACCTCCTCACAGGATCGGGATTCGAAATAAAATTCCGATCCGGCGAGGTGCTAATCCACTTTTGGATTTCCGTGCCAAGCCTCCTGCGTTTTGCCCCGCCTTAAACACTTGGTCCAAGGTAAAGGACCTCTCTTGGATGCTGATATGGATGTCGGCGCCTGTTACACATCTTTCGGCTTGAGATCTTTGCAATTGGTAGCCCTTACACCCAGATCCCCAGCAGGCTTGTCAGCCGATTCGCTTGCGTCCTTTGCTCCAAGAGCAAATTGTTATAGCCGGATTTCCCTTGCTCATTTCACTCTATATACCTGCAATCCGGCGGCTCCATAAACATCTGCGCGCTTTTCAGGCTACCGTACCGCCAAAGCGAGTAGACCAAGCAGATCGGAAACCAATGCGCGTGTGGCATCCGGTTTGACACCAGTCCTACTCCCACATGATCAACTACAAACACCCGTCTGCCGCAATGTTACACTGAAAACCTTTTGCGAGGACTGAATGTCAGGCGAAGCATAGGTAGTTACACGCTTCTCTGCTGAACGACTGTTCAGACTTCCTGGTCAGGGTGCGTGGAGTGACACTATGCCAAGCTCTCACAGTCCAACGTTGGAGCGTGCGAGGCCGAACTTATACCTAGCGAAGCCGAGAACCGACAAAGGGCGGCATATTCGCCGTCTCCTTATTGCGAACCGTGGTGAAATAGCCTGCAGGGTCGTGGCAACGGCGCGGGCTCTCGGTATCGCCTGCATCGTCGTCTACACAGAGGAGGATCGTGACAGCTTGCACGCAAGCGTTGGACAGGAAGCTGTATGCCTTGGGCATGCGTCTCAAGGGCAGCATAGCCCGTATCAGGACATAAACTTACTGATCCGGACAGCTCTCGATGTCCGCGCCGATGCGGTTCACCCTGGATACGGCTATCTCAGCGAAAATGCTGGTTTTGCTAGAGCCATTGTGGCCGCTGGCTTAATCTGGGTTGGGCCCTCCCCGGAATCCATTCTGGCATTGGGAGACAAGCGCGAAGCTAAGAAGTTCCTGCTCACGAATGTGCCTGAGGCTCCTTTGATCCCAGGATACAATGGCTCGAGTCAAGACGAGGCGATCTTGGCCGCAGAGGCGGAAAGAATTGGCTATCCCATCCTGATCAAAGCTGCCGCCGGAGGAGGAGGTCGTGGAATGAGGATAGTGCACCACGCAGGGGACCTCCACGAAGAACTCAACCGTGCCCAGTCCGAAGCTCTACGCTCCTTCGGCTCTTCGGATTGCTTGCTGGAGAAGTACATCGAGCATGGCAAGCACATCGAAATCCAGATCGTGGGCGACGCGAACGGCGACGTCTTGTCGTTGTATGAGCGAGAGTGTTCCATCCAAAGAAGGCACCAGAAAGTTGTTGAAGAGGCACCTTCCCCGTGGCTCCCAGATACAGTCCGGACCAAAATGGTGAAAACAGCCCAATTGATTGCCAAATCGATGGCGTATGAAAACGCTGGCACGGTGGAGTTCATGGTTGACGTCCGAACGGGTGCATTCTACTTCCTGGAAGTCAATACCAGGATCCAAGTCGAACACCCAATCACGGAGATGACCACAGGGGTTGACATCGTGGCCCTACAGCTCTACATTGCTTCGGGAGGTCTTTTAGCGGAAGACGATACTCTCAGAGATGGAATAAAATCAACTTTCGGCCACGCAATCGAGTGTCGTCTATGTGCCGAGGATCCCGGGAAAGATTTCCTACCAGATTCCGGTCTCATCCTTCGCTGGACTCCAGGGACAGAGTTTTTCGAGCACTCTGCACGACAGGGCGTGCGGTTCGAGACGGCACTGCAGACGGGTGCGAAGGTTAGTGTCTTTTTCGACTCTATGATCGCAAAGATTGTGGTGTGGGCAACTACCCGCCAGGAAGCGATTTCAAAGATGCTCAATGTTCTTAAACACACGGTCTGCATCGGAGTCAAGACCAACCAGCATTTTCTGCAGCAATGCCTGCTACAATCGGACTTTGTCGATGGGACTTACTCAACCCAGTTCATCTCCCAGCACGGGCCGGACTTGCTCCATTTTGTGCTCCCGGAGTCTTTCTCAGATCACGCGATGCGAGCGAGCATTGTGCCCACTCTTCTGGCACGACGTGTGACTCCCGAGCGGCGATACCGGCCCTTCAGCAGCATTCGTACCGGATTCCGCAATCAGGTCCATGACCAGAGTAACAGGCTGACAGATATCGTGTCTGTCCAGAGCGTGGCGACGAGGCCCGCTGATGATGCGGAGTTGTTTTTCTATATCAACTGGCTTCAAGGAGGCAGCTCTGCAGACAGTGACCTGTATAATATTCAACCTTTCAGCATTCAAGACCCAACGTCAGAAGCTAAGAAAAGTCGACAAGACGGCGAGAGCGACAGTGCTCCCTTCATCAGATACTTTCGGCAGATCTTTGCGAACATGTCGGACAGCCAGGACTCGGCGTCACCCCCAACTCGCAAAGTGCGTGTGGTACAGTCCTCATCCCATAAAACCGTGGAGAACACCACAGCCACTGGGTCAAACAAACCCGGTAGGTTGGAGTGGGAAATTTCAGACGTCGTCGTTGAGAATGACAATAGAAGACAATCCTATTATATTGCGACCAGCCCGCTGAGCGGGACGGCCGTTGACGAAAGGCGACCACGTCGTCTGTACTGCCACATCCCAGCGCTAGGCACCAGCATAATGCTCGAGCAGTATTCAATGCTCTCTTTTGCAGAGTCTCGTCGGCAGTATTTTAGGGGTAGTGACGCCCTGGACTCGGATCCAGAGCGAACATACAAGGCTCTCATGCCGTGCAAAGTACTCAGGGTGATGAAGCAGAATGGCGAGGCCGTCAAAGTTGGTGACGTGCTTCTGATCGTCGAGTCGATGAAGATGGAAATGAAGGTCTCGGCCATGGCAGATGGGCTATTCCGGTCAACGTTAGCCACGGGCGATGCTGTCGAGGAAGACTCTGTTCTATGTCAGGTTCTACAAGAAGGATCTCCAGGTGATCAGGGCGGTCAGGGTGGGCAGTAGTGGGCGACTGTCTTGGGTTAAATCGCACATACATATATTAAGAAGCCTCTAGAGAAATTTACAAGAAAGGGGAAATGACTTCGAAACAAGGCCTTCTTCTTCTACTGCATCAAAGGCTGTGACATTCTCACGTGGCTTTGTGATTATAGTCCATACAACGAGTGTCATAGTCTCACATAGACCATCATAACACGAGCGGGGTAATGGATTTCAAAGAGTTGCGAGACACGCCTGGCTGTATAATGCCGACCATCTGCCGTGTCGACTAGTCAAGAGTCAGGCACTTGTCGATCAGCATTGCCACGAAGAAGGATTCCGCATCGGCCCCGGAGCTATTTCCGATCAATCAATTCACGACATCTTGTCCACTCATAGTTGAGACTAGAAGACCAGCGCACCTTTTCCAAGCTGTGGGAAGTGGGAAGCCTGCTGTTACGCAACGAGCGGGAAGGGATCATGTCGACCTCAACTACAACACCGCACGTGGTTGGTTCCTTCCCCCAGGTTACGACAAAGGTCAATAGAAGATCAAAGGACTTCTTGGAGAATGTCAAGCGGTGGGAACCGATCCTGAAAACATATCAAAATGCCCTTCGAGCGAGTGCCTCCGAAGGCAGCGCGACCAGCGTGTTGAAACACACCAGCCGAGGACAGCTGCGAGGTATGGATTCCATGCCCGTCTGCCTGGAAGAAAAAAAAAACAGATCTGTTAACGTGCCCTTTGCGACAGCGCGTGAGCGAGTGGCTC